CTAGCTGACTAGCTAGTTAGCTAGCTAGCTGACTAACTATATAGCTCTCCTGCTGGTTCCGTGGCTAGCTAGTCAACTCGCTAGCCAGTTCCGTGGCTAGCTAGTTAGCTGACTGGCTAGTTGGCTAGCTAGGTTAGTTGACTAGCTATGGAGCCGCCGCAAGCTAGCTAGCTAGCTAGCTAACTAGCTTGTTCGCAAGCTGTGGAGCTGCGGCAGGGCTCTGAGGACTGCGCCGGCTTGCGAGCGAAGCAGCTAGCTACCTGTGTCTGGCTAGCTAGCTACGGGACTACCTACGGCCATTTGCAGCGAAGGCTTCGGGCCTCTGTGGCTTCTGTGCTGCTGCTGCTGCTGCTGTCGCCCCACCATTTGCTGCGTCGGTCTGCGCGTGTCCATACAACCCAGCAGCAGCAAAATGCAAACAGAAAATGCGCATGCATGCGAAGACACGGCGGCCGTTTGCCTCTGGGCAGCAGACGCCCAGGAGACACAGCCCCAAACTTCGGGCTTTCAAATGCGAAACGGACCTGCTGCTCGTGCTGCTGCTGCTGCCGCCTCTGCTGCTGCTGCTGCTGCTTCTGCTGACACGCAGCAACCCGCACTAACGCCCCGGCGCAGCAGGCCGCCACGGGCCGCCCCCACTGGCTGGCTGCAGCGAGGGGGGCCCCCCTGCCAGCTGCGGCTTCCCTAGGGTGTTGAGGGGCCCCTGGAGGGCCCCTTGCCACTGGGGCCCTGCTGCAGCACTGACTCCCGGCAGCTGCTGCAGTGACACTGCTGCTGCAGTTGCTGCTACTGTTGCTGTTGCTGCGGGAAGAGAAGCAAGGACACCCGCTGGACTCACTGCAGCAGCAGCAGCCGGCCGTCCGAGCTGCGCAGCTCCCGCTGCAGCTGCTGCTGGAGAGCCAGCAGCAGCTGGAGCCACATGCATCCTCCCTGCTGCTGCTGCTGCTGACGCTGTTGCTGCTATTACTGCCGTCCTTGCTGCTGCAGCGGGAACGCGCCGCGCAGCCGATGTCGCGCTAGTGTGCATCCCAGTAGCCGCAAGTGTCCTTTGGGGTGCTGCAGCTGATGCTGCTGCTGATCCCGCTGCTGCTGTTGCTGGTGAGGTCCCCACGCCCCTGAGTGGGGTCCCAGAGGGAGCCCCCGCTATTGGGGGCATTGTTGCTGCTGCTGCTTCTCGTGCTGCAGCAGCAGCGGAGGTGGCTGCAGCTGTCGTTGCAGCTGCTGCGGACCTGGAGTAACTGTGTGCACTTTTGCCGCTGCTGGCACCTCGAGGGGAGGCTGCAGCAGCAGCAACAGCAGCAGCAGGGCGGGGGCCTCCACCAGCAGAGCTTCCCGGTGGAGTGCTTGAGGCCCTTTCCTGTAGGGCCCCTCCACGCCCCCCGCCGTGCTGCTGCTGCTGCTGCTGCTGCGAATGAGCGCGGCTCGCTGCTGCGCTTTCAGCAGGCAGCAGCAAAGATACCTCAGTCAGGTGTCCACGAATGCCACTCAATGCACCGCCGCCTGCAGCAAGGACAGCAGCAGCAGCAGCAGCCCATGACCCCACAAGCCTAGCACGCAGCCATATCGGCAGTGGGCAGCGGCAGCTGCAGCAGCAAGTGCAGCATCTGCAGCAGCAAAACTCGAAACACAGATACACCCTACAGCGCATGCAGTCCTCCGAAAGGGTCCGCCGCAGCAGCTGCAAAACACAACCAACACCAGCAGCAGCAGCAGCAGCAGCAGCAGACCCTCATCTCCATAGTTTCTTGTTGTGTAGTACACCACAAGAGACTCCGTGGGGTAAGCCAAAGAGAGCTGGTGGAGAGCAGCAAGAGTTACATTGGGGCCGAAGGGGACGCGGTGTTCTTTGGTGTAGAGCCGCAGCTCCCCGATTTGCTGCTGCTGCTGCTGCTGCTGCTGCTGCAGCTGGCGGTTGAGGCGCGCAGCAATGAAGCGACACAGCTGCAAAACTGTGCTGTGGCCTTCAGTGGAGAATTTGTTTTGCTGCAGCAGCGGCAGCTGCGGCAGCAGCGGGTCGGGGATTAGCTCAAAGCGCAGCTTCATCGGTGCTGCTGCTTCTGGGTTCGCGTCCGCCGCCGCAGTTCCTGCTGCTGCTGCTGCTGCTGCTGCAACCTGCTGTTTCCGCAGCAGCACAGACAGCTCTCGCCGCATCCGCTTCTTCTCCAGGGGCGGCAGCACCGCCTGCATGGCCATGGTGAGATACCTGCTGCTGCTGCTGCCTGTTGATGCTTCAGCAGCTGAACCTGAGGCCCTCCCTTGCTGCTGCTGCTGCCGCGGCACCGGCTGGCCCGAGGCGTCGATGAAAGCGGCAGGGGTTGGCGCGCGGGGGAACAGTCCGGGATACAGTTTGCTGCTGCTGCTGCTGGGAGTCGCTGCAAGCTTCTTGTAGGGCTGCTGCTGCAGCTCCGCAGCTGCCGCTAAGCTGCGTTTGTTTGCAGCAGCGGGGTCTGCTGCAGCGAGGGCGTCTGGCGCGGGACTTCCGCTGGCGCTGGGCGCGCCGGCTGCTGCTGCTGCGGCCGCAGCAGCAGCAGCAGCGTGCTCTGCTGCTGCTCCTTGACTCGAATTCAACCGCTGGTTCGCCCGCGCCAGCAGCACATGGTGCTTCTCTTCAAAAGCTTTCAAAGAAGGAAATATACGACGCACAACTCTGTCCAGCGCGCCGTCGGGGCGCAGACTGCGGCGCGAGGCCACGTGGGAACGACACTGCGCGCAGCAGCAGCAGCAGCAGCAGCAGCAGCGGCGGCGGTAAGTGCAGCAGTGAGACGCAAGGAAGCATCCGGCTCCGCGACACGCTCTAGTGCGCCCGGAACCCAAGTGTGCTCTAAACCCTAAACCCTAAACCCTAGACGCTAAACCTTAAACCCGAGCAACGGCAGAGCCATTGGACCCCAGCTATGCTCTAAACCCTAAACCCTAAACGCCAAACCCTAAACCCTAGAAAAGACAAAGCAACTGGCCCTGACAGCTGAGCCTGAGACCCTAGGTTTCGCTGCTGCTCTCCGGTGATGCCTCGCCGCCCGTGCAAGCCAAACCCCAAACCCTAAACCCTAAACCCTAAACCCTAAACCCTAAACCCTAAACCCTAAACCCTAAGCCCTGAACCCTAAACCCTAGACCCTAATCCCCACATTTTGAAGCCTGAAAACCAAGCCCTAACCCCCAAACCCCGAACCCCAAACCCCAAACCGTAAACCGTAAACTGTAAACCGTAAACCCTAAACCCTAAACCCTCACCTGGGGGCACTCCCGAATGCCAATGCGGACGCACTTCTCGATGCACTCTGCGCAGAAGCGGTGGAGGCAAGTCTTGACGACAACAGTGTGATCTAAAATGGACATGCAAATGGGACAAGAAAGGTCTTCTCGAAGTTTGATGCTGCTGAGGGTTCTGCGCTGCTGCAGCAGCTCCGCGGGCGCGCGCCGTGCTGCTGCTGCTGCTTGCTGCAGCGAGATCGAAGCCGGCAGCCGCTGCTGCAGCAAACGGTAGTACGCCCAGTCCCGACCCCACAGCGTCCCGTGTTCTCTGTCGTACGCCAGCCACTGCTTCGACCGCTCGCTCATCACCCCGCTGCTGCTGCTGCTGCTGCTGCTGCTGGTCGTGGCCGCGGTCGGGGTCGTGCTGCTGCTGCTGCTGCTCGTGCTGCTCGTGTCCGTGCTGCTCGTGCTCGTGCTCGGGGCGCTGCTCGCGGGGCTCTGGCTCCCTCGGACCCCCGTCTTCACAGCAGCAGCGCCTGCTGCTGCTGCTGGTGCTGCTGCTGCTGCTGGTGACTGAGCTGCTGCTGCTGCTGCTGCTGCCGGCTGGCTCCGGACTGAACTTAAAGTGTGATCAACTCTGCTGCTGCTGGCACTGCCTTGACGCGCCCCCGAGGAAGCAGCAACGGAGGCTGCCCCCGCAGCAGCAGCAGCAGCAGCAGCAGG